TACTATCTACGAATCTAGAGTTGAACTCGAAAGTGGGAATTCTAGATTACATATAGAATTAAATAGAGCAAGTTCTTAAACCCGGACATCGGGAAAAGGATTCGCAATTAGGATAGAAATATACCTAATTGCCTTTCTCGGTTGCAATACAGGAATTGTAAATGCGTTCTTGTTAATCTTAATTCCATAGACATATAGGCATTAAGTTAGCTTGAATAGGCGAGTAAGAACTTGACAGATTTTTATGAGTAATATCAACCCTGTCAATCAACAATCCAGATAAATCAATTAGTTATTTTAAACTAAGAATGCAACATGATTGTTAGATAACCCGTGACCCTGGAATATTATATCCTATTGATTGTTATTCAAAACTATTTAAGTGTTGTGGTTGATTCCTAGTATTTCATTACTTGATAGTCTTTAGGTAGTAATTCAGAAAATTATCTATTTTGTGAGAAATCTTTTGAATCAATAAGGCATTTGAGTTAGAATCAGTCGAAAGTTAATCATAGATCTTCGTGGGAACGATACTCTACTCATTACTCTATTACTTGACGACCACGTATACTTGCGTGAGTGTGCGTTTGGTCCCAACAAGTTCTTGCCTCCAGGAAACTTCGACTGCAGTCTGCCTTGATCAATCTTATCATGTGAAATTTTCCCACATAAGTGGTGTGATTCATCAAAGATTACATGTATGCGTCCTTCAACACATTGAGTCCTTTTGTTGTAGACCTTGTATGCTTTGCTTTGTGAGGAATATCCAAGAAATATTCTTTCATCACTTTTGGCGTCAAATTTTCCCAACCTTACCATTATTAAGAATGAAGCATTTGCATCCAAACGTTCTTAGGTGAGTTAGCTTGGGCTTTCTTCCATTCAGCAATTCATATGGAGTTTTATTCATGAGGGACCTGATCATGCACCTGCTCACCAAATAGCAAACAGTGTTGACTGCCTCTGCCCAGAAGCCTTTTGCTACGACACTGTCAATTAGCATAGTTCTTTCCATGTCTTCAAGAGTCCTATTTTTTCTTTCCACCACACCATTTTGTTAGGGTGTTCTGGGAGCTGAAAATTTATGACTTATGTAATTTTCAGCACAGAATTCGTCGAATTTTGCATTTTCAAACTATGTGCCATGATCAGACCTTATATTTATAACATTATGGCTCATCTTCACTTGAAACTGCTTCACAAATGCAACAAAAACTGAAAGGTTTCATCCTTGGTTCTGAGAAAGAAGGACCATGTGAATCTGGATTTGTCGTCAACTATGACAAAGATGTACTTCTTTCCTCCTCTACTGGGAACCCTCATAGGTCCACATAGATCCATATGGAGAAGATCAAGTGGCCTTGAGGTGATTACTTCACTCTTGGGCATAAAAGAGGACCTGACTTGCTTTCCTCTTACACAAGCATCACGCACCTTGTGACCTTTGAACCTTGACTTGGGCAACTGACGGACCAAGTCCTTCATGACCAACTTGTTCAGCAATAAAAAGCTTGCATGTCCCAATCTTCTATGCCATATCTCAGCATCATCATCAACAACACTCAGGCATGAAAGATCCCCATTGTGCAAGGACTCAAAATCAGCAACACAGGTATTTTTGTATCTTTTTGCCTACAAAACCACTTCACCAGTCACGAGATTTGTGACTGTGCAGGTTTTTGATAAAAATTCCACTTTGTTTCCTTTTTCGCGGATTTGAGAGACACTCAGTAGGCTATTTTTCAAGCCATTCACATAGTACACATTCTTAATTAAGTGAGTGAGCGTTTTTTCAATTCTTCCTAGTCCCAGAATGTATCTCTTTTTGCCATTTCCAAAGGACATACTCCCTCCTTGCAGGGATTTGAGTGAAAGGAAATCATCTATGCTTCCAGTTATATGCTTAGAACAACCACTATCCATATACCATTTTTGGCTGTTTCCTTTCCCTGCTCCCTGCACAAGAAAATCAAGGACTAGACTTAGGAACCCAAACAAGTTTGGGTCCCTTGTAGTGAGGAAAAGGGAGAATTAAACTTTGTTTTTCTAAGCATGCGATACACGTTTTTTAATGGAAGAACTAGGTACCTTAGCAGTAGTTAACTTTTCAACAAAAATCTTATTTTTCTGTTGGGACTGAATTCCAGCCTT